GCTTTTTTAAAATTGTCAGTTAATAGCTTAATAGCTAATGTTTAATATTACCTTAAGTTCGCAAGTTAAAGATACTGTAAACCTAATCTAGACTTTTTTTAATATATTATTTGTAGTTTGAATTTTAATCATTAAATTAATGTACCTAACTTATGTTTAAATAATTTCTTTGTTTTAGTCTATTCCTATATTATTTGCACTCATGCAAAAAAAATCAAAAATTGCATACAATGTTATTGTTGAATATTTACGGTCATWAGCTCCAACAYTAAGGCCAACTAATATAATGACTGATTTTGAGCCAGCCTTACGTGATTCCTTATTGGAAAATTTTCCTGAAGCTGTTGCACATGGGTGTTGGTTTCATCATAATCAGGTTAGTTGATTTTAAGTATAATTTTTTTATTATTTTAATCATAGGTATAATATATATATATATATATATATATTTATATAATATATACCTATTGTTACATTATTTATGATATAATTATTATAAAATATATGATATGCAATGAAAGCTTTAAAAAGTTTCCAATAATATTAAGAATAGAGAATGTTTTTTTTCTGTTTCTAGGCAGTATGGAAAAATGTTGTGAAGCTAGGTTTTTTGCATTTGGTTAATACAAATGATAKAGCTCTAAAAATTATTAGAATGCTGATGTCAATTCCTTTATTGCCTGCTATGTCGATGCGACTAGGTTTTGATGAATTGCGTCTTTACTCCATAAGAAATAATGTCAATTTCGAATCCCTTTTTTCTTACTATGAAAGGTACATTACTATTTAATGTTCAAATCGTTTAACTTATTTWTACACTTATATGTGTGTATTCATATTCATTATTTTTAATATTTTACATTTATAGGTTCTGGTTAGATAGAATGGGAACACAATTTGTTTCTGTGTATAATTGTCCAAGACGGACAAACAACAATGTAGAATCATTTCACAACAAACTGCGTCTTAAATTTTGTTCTGCCCATCCAAACTTATGGATTTTTATTGGTAATTACTAGATAATTAATAGGGAAATTACCAAATATGTGTTAAAATTTGGTATACCTAC